TATTTTATTTTATATTATAATATATGTACTATATAATATATTACAAAACTCCGAAGTTTTAATTTTAAAAAAAAGCAAAATAGTAGATAATTATATTATACAATTATTGATGTCGCGCGATAAGTAGTAACAGTCAGTCACTATTCGTACTCTCACAATATGATATATAATGTAATGCAAGTGTGGTGAATGGCAGCACAACACTGATTGAGAATGGCTATTACATGCGAGACAACAACAGCAACAGAGAGACGTTATGCTCAGTTGCCGAAAGAACCGAAAGTGAAAAGAAATAAACTCCTGGCAGAGAGAATGGGAGAGTTGGCTGGTTGGCAAGCTTTGTAAAGACGCGAATCAAACATGTGGTTGGACTTAACCTGCTGATCGAGTTGGCAATCGGCCAATTTATTCGATCCAAGTTCACTCCTAATTGCAGGCGATCACGTGGAAGATCAATGTGATGAAAAGGATTTTTTGCGACCGTATTTTCTCGGTCAGATCTTGAACTTTTCTTTTGTCACGATTGTCCGTCTAAACTCGCGGACTACGTAATAGAGATAAACATCTATCTGTTCGACAACGCGATAAAGAAAAAGTTGCGGATCTCCAAGCAAAACGATCAGCGACTGGTTTTCTCGTCTTTCTACCGATCTATCGAAAGGAAATCACTAGAGCACTTTCGCCAATAACTGTAAGATGGCGGTGCCGTAAGGCGCCACAACTACCTGGTCAATAGCAGAAAATGAGACTCACCTGGCACGCTAACCCCGATTCAAAAGCGGACGCGACGATTCTTTGCAGTCATGCGTCGTTCTTCTGCACAAAATGTGTTCAAAAATAAAGCAAAATATAAATTTGGGAAAAAAAAAAACATAGCACGATATGCACGAAGTACACGTTTTCTTAAACCCAATGAAAAAAAGATCGTTTCTGAGACAACGCGCGCGTGCGTCAGTCCGCGGTGGAACAATTTTGAGTTTTTTGTGAAAATTTCGAAAACATTTGTAAAAAAAAAAAAAAAAAAATTAAAACGTACGGAATAATGCTTGACACGTGATCGCGACGTGTGAGTGTGAACTCTGAATTAAAAAAAAAGACCAAAGATTTCAATTATTCTTAAAAAGTAGAATAAAGAGAAGTAGAGACCTACAAATAACTCTCAGTAGTACAAAGTTATCCCTAACTACACTTTGCAAGTAAAATAAAGCAAGTGGGACTCGCGAATCAATCTTCTCGATTGTTGTATAGTCGTGATACACTTTAAGGAGATAACAAACATTATATTTTTTATTAAACTATCGCGCAACTAGGTCGTTTTTGATTTCGCTTAAACTTTTGTTTCGCGCGTTTCGCGTCGTTGAATCTTTCTCAGCCTGCTTATGGTTTGATCAAATTAAAAACCGCGTTCAGGGAGGTTATAAGCAAATAGGGAGAGAAGTATATTACTCTCTCTCTCTCTTGTGCAGAGTGCCTACTCAAAGTGACGAGAACGAGTTCCACAAAGACTCTCTTTGACGTACTCAGACTACATCGACCAAAAACTCAAGTAGAAGCAAATAATCGATCAGAAGAGTCTCTTATATGTTAGAAGCTTTGAAGTGTTATTAGCTGTTTGTCGAAGTGAGAAATAAATTTCCTCGATGGCGAAAGTAAATTTTGCTATTCTAATTTTCGCGCGCTCGCGTTCTTTTTTCCTGGCACACACTACTCTGTGTGTAGATATTCTAAGATCAATATAATATCCAAATTGCTGATATATAAACATACTATACACACACACACACACACACGAAAAAAGGTCTCTTTTGCAAAATAAATTCTCTAAAATAAATTTTCTCCTCTTATATTGTTTATCCTTTCCATTTTTCACCTTTCTTATTTGTCACATGTTTCATACGCTCACTTGTGTGCCGTTTGAAGACACGAATATACAAATCTACCAAACACAATCAAACCGAAACACTCATACCAATGATATTTGTCTCTCACGCAGCTTCCACTTTCATATCATATTATTTGTTCTCTACCCACCCGTCGTTACGTGACGGAGAAATCTGTCTTGAAGACAATAACGTGTATGCACCGTGCACGAAGCTTTTCTCGCGAGAGCTTCCGGCCCCTTCGTCTTAGGTCAGCTTCGCGCGCACGTATCTATCTAGCGTGACGAGCGATCGAGTGTGTTTGGTATTCTTTCTTTCTTTTTTTTTTTTTTTTTTTTGAAAACCAATTTCTGCAGACTCTGGTTAATCACTGATGCGAATGGTAGCACGGCGTCGGTATGACTGACTTTCTCTCTCCTGACCCGTTGTGCATGACCTGCACGACTTATGGCAGGCAACCACCCGAAGGCGTATCCGTGGTTGGTCAGCCGGTCGGCTTCCCTTCTTTCTTGCTTCACCGCGATATCGCGTGTGTATTTGTGTCGTGCCAGTGTCGTGTTGTATCATGGAAACGCTCTCTCGTCAACGGAGTCACAAGTCACAGGGCTCGGGCTTTGGGAATTGGAACGCGCCGGTACCGCCAATGAGAGATAATGTATTCGTCTTCGATTTATATGGCAGTTCGATGCGCCGCCGTTAGTTACCGGAGTCAAGTTTGTTTCGCGGAGAGCGAAACGCGCGTTCCAAACGCATCTGCGATCCTTGAAAACTTTGAGAGAAAGAGAGAGAAACAAAGAAATATGATTTTTGTTTGTTGTATTAAATTAAGTACCGTAACAAAATTTATTTAATCTTATAATAGATATCTTTTCTTTCATATTACATTTCTAAGCTTATATTCGGGATCTCTAAATATTTTCTCTCTTATATCTTATACACAATGTTGCACACACACACACACATATATATATATACACAATTATATTAATATACATTATTATTATAAATATACGCAATTTAATGACTCTATTATATAAAACATTACTTTTTGATCCTCATCCGAAGTTCTTAGATCCCGCGCATCTTTGTACGTCTCGTCTAGAACCTAAAAAGGAGGTCATGGTCTGCGGCAATAGATACGGCCGAGAGTAAGTTTCAGCCTGACCCGCTCGGGCTGGCTCAACCTGTATGATCGGCGCGAATGTAAAATATCATCGTACGGTATGTAAAAGGAAAGCATTGGAAACCCTCTCCGCAGGATTGACCGTTTATGGAACGGCGTACCCCCTTGTGGTACGCCGCGACGCACACGCTTCGATCTCTCGAGTCGGCGACCCCAAATACGTCCTGCCCTAGTATTCCAGTGCGGCCGTCGCGTATATGCACGACATGTTATGCGTCGGTGGTGACGCAGGTGATGCGGATAAGATATATCGACACGCCGATATCAAATTTGTACGAGACGTTTCGTTGAAAGAAATTATGAAAGAGGATACACGTATTTGTGCATCCTCGCCGCTATAGGGTCGCAGCAAATATTTTTTGGTTCTCTTCTTGTTCTATTTTAAATACAAATTCTTTCGCGTTTTTTTTTTTTTACTCGATAACTTTGCAAGTTGCCAAATTGACTCGTCGAAAATTCTATACTTGTTCAAAAAACAACGCGAACGAATTCTCGCGATATAATTATTATTACTATCTAAATATAATTTCGCTCGTTTGTTTCAATTTAACGCGCAACGAGTGCGAGTCTCGATCCTCATCTATGAATAAACTCTCGCTGATTTGATGCAATTTTACTTGCGCACCGTTCAAAAACGTCGATCCCTTTCTCTCGAACGCAATAGAAACTACTGGCAAAGTATGCAAATAAATTCCCGCGGAAAAGTGGGTCATGTTCGATATTTTCAAATTGCCGCACGAAATATATCAATGCGAAGTTTAAAGATGCACTCTTTCGCGTATGCGACACAGAAAGATGATATACACAGAGAAGAGAGACCGCGTTTTACTTAAATTAAGAAAAATCGACACCTGTATCCATCCGGTATTGCGCAATTTATAAAATATTGATTCCACTATATTATTGCTTATATATCTTGCTGCTTCTAAAAATAAAAAAAAAATAAAAAAAAAGTTTTAAACTAAGTAAATAAACACTTTACAATATCAATATAATCCGAGAAGTGAATAATCACATTTGAAGAAAAATTTTTAATAAATATTCCGAAATTAATCCGAATTTACTTTCTTCGAATAAAGTTTTTGAAGTGCTTGCTTTATCGACTTCCACGAGCTTGCGTCAGATGGCACGAGCTTGCCAGAAACGAGTTTATCGGACGGTTCGATTTTAGCGTAGCCTAACTTCGGCGAATTAAGCTATTTATGTCGAATGTTTAGCACGTAGACACTGAGAAAAGGTCAACTGGTGAGTGGACCGAATTATAAATTTAATTTTCAAAAAAAAAAAAAAAAAAATGTCTCGCGTAATATTTATAATATAAAATAATTCTTCTTTTTTATACGATATATTTATTGGTTTAAGAATACGTTCTATTTTCGATCTTGCTGCGCCATACTTGCCAGCTGATCTCTCAACAACACATGTCATTGACAACGATCGCATGTTTCTCTACAAAAAATTTTACGTTTTGTTATTAAATTACCTCAAGTAAAGAATATATAACGAAAGAACAAATCCATCCAGGATATTTTGTCGTCGGTCAATACCGAAAAGCCACGTTCTCTCGCTTATGCATCAGATAATGTCTTGAAAGTAGAAAAAATCAGCTAGCAATATTGATTACAAGCTATCACAGTTAAATCTCTCATACTTTTGCCTCGCGTATTGTGGTGTTTCAGCGCAGAAACGCAACTTGTGTCGCGCGCATGACCCGAATAAATAATTAGCATTTGCGGCAAATTACCTTTTCCCACGCTCGGGCGATTTCCGTTTCCGGCGCGGAAACATCCTCATCCCGAGAAACGTGCTTCTGATACCGGCATGCATTGTGAATCTTCAATTATTAACACTTCGAATTACGCAAGCCAGTCTCCTTGGCACAAAGAACCATCACAAATTGTTTGCGCATCAAATGTTCATTTTCAGCTCTCCGAGCACGAAATATCACTTCAAACTACATATACACGCAAGAAAAAAAACAACGAGTATATAAAATTGTGCAAAATTGTTGTCAATCTCAAAAATTCAAGTCGCGTCATTAATCAACCGCATCGATTAATTCCGAAATTCCGAAATTTCTCCACTTCGTACATGCACGTATATATCACACATGCGCATATATCACTTCTTTTAATATCATGATATATAAATTCCTCACCAAACTTGATTCGCACTTGAACACATGTTAGAATTTATTACCTAATCGAATTGTCTCTTTGGATCGTCTCTCTCCGCTCATAGTTTTTGTCCAATCGTAAAATATCGTTTTTCGTCATTTAAGTAAATTGACAGCGTTTGTCATCGGAAGTGACGCGCAATGCTAAGCACAATCTTACGCTCTCGAAAAAGCGGTGTACTAGTGGAGACACTTTCACAGATGAGCATCTCGATGTTAAAAATATACCGCGAGTCTTAGTACGCTTCCGAATCGACAATTCGCCTGAGTTTCGGCTAAATGCGAATTGCCTCTCTATCGATGGTTGATAATTAATAACAAGATAGAAAATTAATTTATTTTTGAAAAACAAAAAGAAGAAATTTTACTAATTTTTATGTTAAAAATTATTATTCTTTTAAATATTCACAACACATAGAGATATAATTTGCTCACTCTGATCTTCCTCTGTGTATAAAAAAAAAAAACACATCTGAGCGCGATATACAATATTTTTTATCCGTATTATTTCTATAGAGATGGTCCTTCCAATCAACCGCGACTCGTAAAAGCGACTCAAAAAGATTCGCGCGATTTGTCATTCATCTTCTGCTCTCGTTTTCCCCACCACGCGCTCGTCTAATTCTATGTATATCTTCTCTGTCCTTAATTTCGAGTGACAGAGTGGACCGAGCCGGCCAACAAGATCTTCCAAATTGCAGGAATCGACCGGTGACGCCTTCGTGCGATTGATCGCAGTGAGATTTAATTAATTTGATTCGACAGCAAATGGGCGATCCAGCGAAGCGTGAGATGCGGAAAACTCGGATAATGTTCACAATGAATCGGGACATAAAGGTTGAAACGCACAGTTATATCAACTATATTTGCGAATAATCGGTTTTTTATTATTGTTTTTCTTTTTTTTTTTTTGGAAAAATTGTTAATCGAATATCAACAAAACGTATTGTACAACCGTAATTGCCGCGACATTGCGCGGTAAAACTTTTTTTAACGATTTATCGATTTTACAAATGAGGCAATATGCGTTGTAATAAATATGTTATAAATACGTGTGCATTTTAGCCCCACGCTTATCGTGTATACCGCATCAAAACCCAATTATCCGACGCGGAATTATCCGACGCTTGCAGAGAAGTATTTTGCGGGTCAATGTAGCTTCCTAGAGCGCGTTTTCAATGTTCATACCGCGGTAGACGGAATGACAGTTGGTATATTTTGGAAACGAAGGTAATGCCTGCGGCCTGGGGAACGGCTAAACAACGATTAGGCTGCCAGCCAGAAATTGCAGCGAGTTAAGAAAGTATTTGCATACACGACATACACATCTCGTCTTTTCCGTTATATAAATATATTTTCTTACGGTTCTTACAAATTACAGCGCTTTGAATTTTGCTTGGGAAAGTAACATTCCAATCGATCATCCGGCTGTGTCATCTAACGGGATTAAGTAACACACTTTGTTTGCACGATGAAAGGGACTAAATCCATCCAAGTAGGACTGATCGTACGAGAGATCAATAAAAAAAAACGTTATCGACTGTAAAAAAGAAACAAATCCAAAAAAAAAAAAAAAAAAAAAAAATCGATCGTCCACTTTACGCACTTGGCGCAATGCAGACCAGTGTAAAGAAAGCCGCGAGAGCGCGGATACGCACGCGTAAGCACGAAATTGCCGCCGCAATCTCCACCAGGAGCAGGAAACTCGGAATTTAGTCACGTGTGCACGTGGATGATGACGTTAGCCGGATGCGGTCGTCGCGATCGATCGCAAAAGTTCGAGGTGCAAAAGTAAAGCTTTTTCACGCGCGCGCGCGCGCGCGCGACAGATCTTTTATTATTTTTATCCGAAATATATGGAGAATATGTGGAAATTTCTCACGTCAGATATATAGTATTTCCAGGTCAAATCTCGGATCGTTCGATTTTCACACACAGGTTTTTGTCATATTCATCGAATCGTATAATAAACATCGTGTTTACCGATGATAAACAAACGTAGCGTTAATGTATCGCTCTTGCGTATATTGCGCTCCGGGGCTCTTTTATCTCATATTCATTTATTATTTGCTGAATAATTAAGCTCGCTGATCAATAATAAAACAGCGCGCTGCGTTAAAACCCGTCGTTTAAATATTTGCAACTTTATTTACAGAAATACAAGAAAAAAAAAAATAAAATAAAACTGAAAAAACATTTTCAAAGAATTTTCGTCCGTTAAATCTGAGAGATTTGTGTTTACATTGTGTTCTTCATTCAAATTTCTTACACGCGTCATTCGTGTTACAATGTAACGCAAAAATAACGAACGTGGACGATTACACGGACAATCTTTCCAGAGGGGATGCAAGAGCGAGTTCAAGTGCGAGATAAAAAGCGCGCCTTTAGCGAAGAGGACGAAAGGGAACGCGAAGCGGGGGCAGAGCAGCGCGCGATATGTCGCAATGCGTCTTGACGTCACCGACGTCGCTGCTGGTGGGATACGGGGGGGTTGGCGAGCGAGAGGGTAGGGGGTTCACGGGGGGGGGGGGGTTCATCCAGATACACGTGCATATCGCCAACGAGCTACTGCGACGAGCCATCTGTCGGCTATCGCAACAAAGTGCAATGAAAGCGCATCCAACATTGGTAATCCGACCCTCTTGCCACGGGGAGCATCGATTTAATCGCAATAATTGGATCAGTTATTTGAGAGATAAATGTGTAACGCGCACATCCGCGCACCATTGAGAAACAGTGGTTTTTTGAACAATTATTCCGTATTAATTATAACGTTGTAATTGTTTTTTTTTTTTTTGTTTTTTTTTTTCAAGCGAGTTCAATGCAACAACGCGCAAGTTGAAATTTGCCCCTGCAAATAAACAATATTTACACTCACAGAGAAAGGAAAAATCCACGAGTACAATCACTTCCTGTTCTACGTCAACAAACGGGACAGCTGTGAAAATTTTTAGCAAGAAATTTTTAACTTCTCTCTCTATAATGTGTCCACGTCTAATCGTAAGTATGGGGGTCGTGAAGTTCAATTTCTTTCTTTTGTGGAAAGAGTGTTATCGCACTTAATGAATTGCCTGAAATTGACATACCGGGGGTCAAATTCTTCCGGCTTATTTGACACACGTACTTCGTTAATCTCATCATGCGGCGGGGGGGTCTTAATATTCGCGCGCAAGAAACTGGCGTGCCTCAAAAGAGGAAGGTAAGGAATAAGAAGAAACGAGACAGAATGAATTATTATCGTCCTACATCGCGGCATCCAAAGACGTTTATCCTGTGGAATTACGATCGTCAAAAGTTCACGGGGAATAATGGCGTGCAGCCTCGGTTAAGATCGATGATCTCGCTCGTTTGGAAACTTCCGCGAATGCCGAGGCGCTTAACGAGAATTCAAAAGGGTTTGTGAGGGTCGTCGTCGCGACCGTTAAGTTAAAGGACGCGATGCTATTTCGGTCTCTCGTTCTCTTATTCGTCGCGAACAACGACGAACGACGAGATTTTTAGTGTCATTTTGCTAAGAGAGACGCTAAGGTCGACTCTACGTACAATGGCGCACGGAAACAATGTATGATTAATTATCAAAACCGTTGCGCGTTTTTTCGAATATTTGGTGAAACCTTGTAAGAGAGAGAGAGAAAAAAAACAATAGAAAGAAAGAAATAATTGATAATAAGTATAGATAAATATAAACAATCAAGGTCTGTTACGAGCTTTAATGGATCTTAAAATTTAAATTAAAGAAACAAAACGCAGAGAAATAAAATTAAAATTACAAATAACAAACGTTTCGGCTCTTACTTGAGACCTCTTCAGTGTAACAAAGATAAATATAAATATAAGTAATCACGTCATATCGCAAGATTCGCAAAAAGTAGATGAAGAAATTGAAACGAAAGAAATTGACAATTAAATTTAAAAAACAATAGAAAGAGAGAAATTTGATAATTAAATTTCTCTTTGATTTATATTCGTGTGTTATTTAGGTATTGATATTCAAAAAAAAAACGGAATTTGTTTTCACGCGCAAATTGCCAGAGAAATATTCTAAATTGCAAAATTAAATTTTTCTGCTTGTATACGCTGTGCGCAATATGTTTGTAAAATTTTATTATGCAAAAAAATGAGATGTTCTATTTTATATAAAATTTAATTATCTAGTCTCATGCTATATGTAGATAATACAGATTGAAAAAGAGAAATAAACCACTCGTTTACCTCAAAAACGCATCAAGTATATAACAGGCTGTTTGTTTCGCGCAGAAACGAGTAGATGGCTCCACTCATGTCTCGCAACGAGGGTGCAACACGTGTATTACCCTCGCGCGATCAATGATAATCTTGTTAGCAAGCGTAAAATTTTAACATTGTTCACAGAGCGCGTCCGAGAGATTCCGATATTTTTATCATATAAATTTACTTTCACATCAACGCATAAATAATAAATACTTCATTCGTTTTTTAAGTTAAAATAACAATTCGCATTATTTTAACATTTACGCAAGAGAGAAAAATGCTTGTACAAGTTAGAATAATTATTCAAAAAAATTTTTAAGCTTATAATTACTATCTCTTTTTTTTCTGGAGATTCACAGTTGTTCAATATGTTATCAGCTATATCAATAAGGTTTTCAAGGGGGATGAACTTCGAAATACATATCTCCGTCCGAGCGTAAGGGATTTACAATGAAAATTCCTGTGGCGTCAAAGAGCGATAGTGATCGACCCTGTAAACCGCACAAGCCAACGTACGAGCAACAACCTTTATACCCCTTGTGATTTATCACTGTACGCGTGTGCGTGTTGGCTTTGCGGAGTATGTTAACTTGCTTACGCTCGTCGAACAACCACGAGCTCTGGCGCACACACTCTATTGATTCATCACGAAAATCATGAATGAACGTGTAATCTCTTCGACGTCCGAGCGTTTGCCGGACTTTATCGCGCGTTGAGGAGACAAATCGCTTATGGCGTACCAGAAAGAATAGCAAAACTCAATTATGAATGAGATTCGCGTCGTTTTTACGTGGGTGCTTAATTTGCGTCTGAAACTCGTCTCGAGAAAACGTCAATGTCAATTTGTTCGCTTCATCAAGATTATTGAGATTAAAATAGAGTTAAAAACGCGTACCCCAACGAGAAATAAAAGTTGCTATTTCAATTTGTT